CCAAAGAACCCACCTTCTAACACTATCCCATTGGGCCATTAGGTTTCAACATATAACTTTGAGGGGACACAAACATTCAGTCGACAGCACCCATTTTATAGGAAAGTGAACTAAATAACAAATTTTGATGCCTAATTTGTGCCAGGTATTTGGCTAAATGCTTTTTACATATGAGCTCATTTAAAGCTCCTATCAACTCTCTATATTAGGGCATGTTATTCTTATGTTAGAAATGAGGAACTTGAGGCTACGAGAGTGAAGTAATTTGCCCAAGGACACATAACTTATAAGACAGGAAGGTCTGATGTTTAAACTCGTGTCTATTTAACCCCCACGTCCACTATGGCACCCTTAAAGAGAAATCTAAGGCAAGGGGCCCTAAAGATTTGCTCAAGTTCACATAGCAAGTTCGGGCAAGTGCTGAGATTAGGACCTGATTCTAGTCCAAGGGCCTCTGTTGCACATCCTTTTGCCAGGTCACTGGAAGGTGTTTGTGAGACTAGGTAATGACCGGGGAAATGTCACTGACAGCAGGAACATGAACAACTGTGTAAGAGCAACAAGGCAGAGGGAGAAAGCAGTGGCTCCAATGTTCCCACCCTCAAGTCCTCAGTGAGGCCTTGCAGGGGCAAGTCTGCATTGCTGAGGAACATGCCACCCAAACTTCATTCTCTTTTGTCACACGGGTAAGGGACTGGGACTGTCGAAGGAGTTTTGGCTTTCCTCACCTCTTCTTTTCATGACCACAAGGAAAACAGAGCAAATTCTACCTTCCCCGCTAGTGATACCTGCTGTTCCCACTAATGAGATGAATGTGATTCGGTAATATGTGCCGACCTTCTCTGGATGACTCCCGTGCTTGTGTCATGGGGACAGCTGGGGAGGTGAGGGGGCCCATTGTCTCAGAGCCTGCAGTCGAAACGGAGAGGCGGGGTATGAGAAGCACTAGTGAAGAGGCACAAAAAAGCAGGAGGAAGGCCCTGAGGCAGACGAAGAGGAAGCCCTGCGCGTTGAGCACGCAATGTTCACTGCGATCACTCAGAACAATTACTGGTGGCATCTGGTTTGCAGTCACCATGTTCTTAGTTCATCAGGGACATTTACTGAGCAGTCCCTCACACACAACAAAAGAAAGGCAAATTTTTGTTACCACGTTCCCAAAGCCCACAGGTATTTGAAAGCTTTCCTTAAAACTAGGTTGGGACAAAAACTTCCCTTATCTGCGGTTTCACTTTCCCCAGTTTCAGTTATCCAGAGGCAACTGCGGTCTGAAAATATTAAATGGAAAATTCCAGAAACGAACAATTCGTAAGTTTGGAATTGGTGTGCCGCTTTGAGTCGCGCGATGAAATCTCGCACATCGGGCTCCGTCCTGCCCCGGACGTGAGTCATGCCTTTGTCCAGCATCTCCACACTGTAGACACCACCCGACTGTTAGTCACTTAGGCTGTTACTCACTTGATATCACTGTGCTGTGTTCAAGCAATCCTTAGTTTACTTATTAATGGCCCCAAAGGGCGAGCGTGGTGATGCTGGCAATTCGGATAGGCCAAAGAAAAGCCATAAAGTGCTCCCTTTAAGTGAAAAGGGTAAGTTCTTAATAAAGAAAGAAAAAGAAATTATATGCTGAGATTGCTAAACTCTGTGGTAAGAATGAATCTTCTATCCGTGAGAAAATTCCTACTAGCTTGTGGAGGGAGGGAGGGAGGGAGAGAGAGAGAGAGAGAGAGAGAGAGAGAGAACATTCACAGAACTTTTATTATAGTTTATAGTAGTTTTATTTTATTATTAGTCATTGTTAATCTCTTACTGAGTCTAATTTGTAAAATAAACTTTATCATAGGTATGAATGTATAGGAAATATCACAGTATATATAGGGCTTGGTACTATCTGTGGTTTCAGGCATCCACAGATAAGGGGGGCTGCCACATGTCTCTATGTCCTGGTTCTACCCTGAGAGCTCCTTGACCCACACGAGACAGGAGAGTGAAGTGAAACAGAGCAGTGCTCTGGTCTCCTCTGGGTTACTAAATTCCAGCCTTCTCTTGGGAGCTGGGAGTGGCTGCATCTATCTTCGGCTGTTCTGCAGCTGTCCACTCCCCTCACTTTCATGCTGTGGTGGGCAGAGTCTGAGTTTAGAGCCTGTGCAGGTTTCTTGTTGGTGGCTATGATGTGGGAAATCATCCTTATTCTTTTCTTGCTCATTCAGGCTCTGAGGGTTGGACAGAAAGAGAATAGTCCGAAGGGGAAATCTAATGAATGAGCAAAGGCTGGAGTCACGGTAGCAGGATTTTTTCCCCCCCAACTTCTTTTGGATTATTTTATTATTCATGTGTTAGTTTCTTCAGCTATTGAAGGAGGATCTATAGGTCAGGCCCTACTTCTGTGATTAATAAAAGCTTTGAGGATAATGAAGGAAATAGGGAAATGAGTTTACAGTCTTCTCACAGTAAAAAAAAGAAAGAAAGAAAGAAAGGCACTTTATCAAATCCGAGGCGGTTACAGCCTCTTGGGTTAAAAATTCCGATGGGCTCATTCACATTGGCCACGCTATGTGTGCCAGTGCCCAATAATTTTCCCTCTTGCACATTTAGGCTTCCAGATCGTTAGGCTGGGAGAAGCAAGTACTTCCCTGAGGAAATACAGAGTCACTACTCCACTGTTTGCCCAGACCCGCCATGGACTTGGGGAATCTCTGAGAATCTCTGGAAGGGACTTTCAAAGCCATTTAGTCCAGCTGCCAGTATATTCTCTCGATAAGCAGACAAGTGGGAATATAAAGTAAAAGTGCAGTTAATTCCCAATTATTCGGATGTAGATTGTCTACAGACATAGAGTGAAAGATTTGTGTATTTGGAGACAGCAATTGGGTCTTTTCTTATCTGTTCCTTCTCCAAGCAAAACAACCACAAATCATTTCAGTGTTCCTTGGAGGACTGAATTCAAACTCTGAAATGACATACATGGACGCCATCTTCCTCTAACTAGGTGGAGGCTGCCCTCATTTTCATTCCAGCAACTTTTGGCTATTCCCCATTCAGAAGGGATTGACTGAATGTGCAATAGGATGACAGAGGAATTACTCTCCCTGAGATTAGTCTTCTGCTAACATCCTAGTACCGAGAGACTCTGCTAACTGCTATTGCCTTAATGACTAGCAATCACTGCACAATCACGGAAATGAATTAAATTATTAATTTCAATAGCACCCCATGGTGCATTTATAAATTCCACCATCTGGGGAACATAAATATGAAGGTTCACATTCTAAACTTGGAGGCATGGTGCTCGGTGCCAAGGGCTGTATCTTTGAAGGCAGTAAAGATTTTTCAAGATGCTATATGTGGAGCTGCAAGCTGTGCATTTGGGAGAAGGCTCTGTCCCTGGGTCCCTATTAGCTTTACCATTTATTTAAGTCTCTTTTTTCCCCTTATTTTTTAACCAGTTCTTATCGATAGCCCAATGTGTCAAAAGCTTGGTTTAGGAAGGGGACAGGATGAAAAATGAAATGAGACCCTGACTTGAGCTATTTAGTTAATCACCCCCTTTGCTGTTCATCGAATTTTCTTTCCTTCTCCCCCAAAGCCTCTTCTCCTATTTACTAGCTTCAAATATGTAAATCTCTGTGTGAATAGGTTCTTCATACTGCGACAGCTATTCTTAGGTTTTGAATGTTTTCAAAATCTGTCTAAAACTTTAAGATAATTGTTCCTGACCAGAGGGGATTAGGTCCTGGGGTGGTGTGTCACCTACTCTAATGAAAGAGATTTAACTTTCCTTCCTCACATGGAAACATTTGAACAGATGTTGGGGTTCAGCGAGCCCTCCCTGTCTGCCATCTGTGACATCCCCATGGGCTGGTGAGAGAGGTGCACTTCTAAAGAGCGTATGTAAATAACTTCCAGGGATCCCTGCAGAGGCACCATGGGCCACCTTCTTCCTTCTACGGAATGCCAACCCCAAGCCAAGAAATAACCCTGCCTCTGTCGCCATAGCACAATATCCTAAAATCCAGAACAACCAGATTTCTAATGTCTGAGTTCACGTGAGATATGGAAGAGAAATGCATAGCTTCCCGCAGGCTAGCTATAATGATTCTATGGCATCGGGGATATTGTGAGGCGCTTGATCTTCTTCTCCGTGTATCCGGGGCTTTGATGCCATTTGTCTGTCTTCACTGGCTGCCGAGGAAGATGACTGTTGAATGGCAGAGCTGCTCCTTTCAGTGCTTCCACATGTACACTTTTAATCAGACTTAGCTTAGTCAGACCTGTAAATTAATGTTGTCCTGCAAGCTAGTGTGGTGTCAAATTGAGACTGAGGGCAAACTCTAAAGGCCCCACCCCCACCGCAGCCCCCCAAGCTGCCGCCACCAGTTGCTGATGTTCACTGGCCATTCAATGAAACACAGCGTTGGTCTGTGAGGTGAAGTGAAAATATTTGGGGATGGCATACTTTTAGCAATTGTCTTTTAGGTTGATTCCCTTCAATTCCCTGTAGAGCCAAACGCCGGGGTACCTTGAGATTTGGTGATCTGAAGCTTTGGGACTAGGCGGTTTGTTCCTAATTAGAATTTCATTGTTTTAGATGCCATTCCATAGCTTAGCCATATTAGCTTATTATTAGCCGTTTGTAACAAGAGAATAAACAGAGCCTGCAATTACAATGGATTTAAATGAAACTTCTGATCTTCATGGCAAGGTCCTTGCCAACAGCTTTCCTTTCTGTCCCTGGATTGTAAACATAAATGTTCATCCAATTTGAGGAGCTGGACCTCTAGGGACTCCCATGTCCTGAGTTTGTTAATGACAATGAAGGACCCAAACTCAGTGATTTATGCAATTTAGCCACTGTATCCCCAACCTTTGTGGGAGTTAGTAGACTGGAATAATTACAGACTAAATAGTGATGATAAGGAGGAAATGTACTGTAGTTGGAGTTAGTGGGCTGAGAAAACAAATGTTTCTAGTCTCAGGAGACTCTGTTTATTATTATAAAGGAGAAGAGAAGAAGCAAAGAGACCTGGCCCTGATCTGTATGAGTTCAGTAGCTGGGAGAGACCACGTAAAGTTATAAAGAACACGAGGTGATAAACACAAACGATCCTTCAGCATCCTGCTCCCTGCTCAGCTTGTCACGCGCAGCGGGAAGACAAACAGTCGACATTGTTTTTGAGGTGAAAATCTTGAACAGTCACTGCTTTGCTCTCAGAGCCAATGCTGGGGAGCCTGGGGGAACCAGTGTCACTGCTTCGGGTTTGCTTCTGACTCAAACAGCGGAGAAAACTTCTCACACAAAGAATTGAGAAACTTCCGGTTCTGAGGTGAACCTGTCACAGCAGCAGCTCTTGGTAAGTGCAAGGCTTCTTTTCTCTTTGGGGGACATGGTAGCTCACCCTAAACTACCAGCAGCTTGACATTAATGAGCTGAATCTCTCTGAGGCTTAGTCAAGTGGCCTGCCCAAGCCACAGGGGAGGGCCCGGTAGACTGCAAGCCCAGTAAGCATGGCTTCCCACCAGAGACAATGCCTGTCCGCTCTCGTCTCCTTGAATCTTGCTACCTGGATAGACACTGTCTGACACTACCCTGCAGTGAATAAAAGGAAAGAAGAAAACCAGCATTACTTTCTGAGATGAAAGCATATGGTGCCATCAAGGAGTGGGTGGGAGAAGGATCCCTGGGAAGATTCAAAAGTATGTTGGTTATACCTTCAAGGACAAGTAGTAAAAGAGATGTTTTCTTACTTCTTCGGCAATATCTAAACAGCCCTACACCTCAGAAAGGGAGAATGCTTGCCTGAGTGAGGGCCAGCTCTGAATTGACTCAGCACTTCCTGTTTAAGGGTAATTGCTTACCCAGGTGAAACCCTTTTAGTTGAATTTTCCTTTATAATAAGATTTGATGGCCAATTTAATTGGCCCCAGGGACCAGAGGATAGAGAAACAGTACAGCTCTGTGGAGAGTTATTTAGGGAAATCTAAATAAAACCCAGAGAATCCACACACTGATCCCTTCTCATATGGCCACTTGTCCCCTGACTCTTTCAGGTGGGGTTTTCTAGGGGACAGACTCTGAGACAAAAATTTGTGTGTAATGTGATTTATTGCTGAGTACTCTCAGAAACAATATCCTATAAGGGACCAAGGGAAGCAAGTTGAGAGAGGAGGAAGTGGAATTGTTGTAAAGTTGTTAACAGAAGTTCNTGAGTACTCTCAGAAACAATATCCTATAAGGGACCAAGGGAAGCAAGTTGAGAGAGGAGGAAGTGGAATTGTTGTAAAGTTGTTAACAGAAGTTCAGCCAAATTCATAGTGAGCTCTTGAGTTAGGATGGCCTTTCAGGATGGTACTCCAGAGTTGTCCTGAATTAAGACAAGCATGCCAGGAGTTTTGTACTTTGTGGTCCTCGGTGAGCTGGAGGAGTTCAGCACAAGCCAGTCAATAGGCAGCTCTTGTTAGCAGACGGGTGAAGCGGTGTGCCCTCAGTGAGGTGGCTTCGTTCAGTTGAGGGCAAGTCCCAGAGAGGAACTCAGCTGTGAACCATCAGACGCCAACTCACAATTGCTGTAGGAATAAATGTCTTGATTCTGAGAGGGGGGGGGGAGAGAGAGAGAAGGGCTCGTTGCACATCATGGCAAACACTATAGTCTGCCTCTTGAGCCACTCAGATACACTTCATTTGGCCTGATCTGGGAATAGCTCTTCCAGGATTCTAGGTGGACTCTATGGGAAAATTTATAATGTTAGGGTTAATGGGACCCACTGTTGGCTATAGTTGGTCTTGAGGCCACAACTGATACTCATCATCTCCATCTTTTACTACCCATTTCATACTGTCCCTTCCATCAGCACCTCTGCCCTTAGTTGGCACCTAACTCTAGGGGGCTTTCCTGATGGACTGACCTTAGGATATAATGAACATATATATTCTATAGACTCCCCAGATGGTCCTGGCCTCTTCAGGTTATTGAGACAGAGGATAAGAGAGTTCACTTCAACTTAGGGCAAGACCATAAATGTACACTGTTGTCAATCCCATTTGAATTGCTTCTATTTCTCCTTTCTAACAGAGATGGAAAAGAGCTAATTCATTAGGTCAATGCCCTCACACCAGGTACCTGAAGCTGTGCTAATATTTTCTGTAAAGAGACTACTTCTGGTGCAACTGTTCCTACTGGGGCTGTGGCCTGGTTGAGTTTGTGGGAGTTCACATCATCCAACATGATCCCTCTGGTTTTTGTAGGAGCCACAAATGGGGAGATGATGGGGACCACCACCTAGGCCTGCTTTAGGTATTAGGGGCGGCTTTAATCTTTGCTATTCTCACATGGGAAGCCATAGTGTCTCTTACTTACTACCTTGGCCTGGGGTGAGAACAGTTTTAGAATCTTCCACATGGTCTTTTCTATTATAGTAGCTCTTAATCCAAAGGCCAAGACGCCTTTATGGGGGTTCTTTCAACTATGAAGTGTGTCCATTCCAATCATATAATCAACAGTCAAGGAAATCACTGTGAGCCAGACCATTAATTACCTGGCTCCCATAGTTTCCCACTCTAACAGGGGTCATGATGACACTCTGGGCCTCCAGGTATCAATACCACTTCAGACCTTGTGTCTGACAGCCCTCAACTATCTGGGTGTTCCCCTTTTCCTAGTGTGCAGTTATCTGAATCAATGACCATAGATACCTTTAGGGAAGGACTGGGGAATAAATATTTTACACCTTTGCCATGGTGTTGCAGAATCCTTCCTCATGGGATCTGTCCCCCCCTTCAGGCGATGGGCTCAGGTCCAGCAACTGGGCAATGAATCAGTATGGGGGCAGCTGCCCTCAATCTCTTTATTGTCCATCTGTGATCCCTTTGGTTGTATAAACTAAGTAGTGCCCTGCTGGCTGCTCATATAGTATTAGGAACACTCTGTGTCATCTTAGTCATCTCACAGCTCTTTGTCCCTTGTTGCCTTGTTGACCTGGATACTCATTGTTATAATTTGACCCACTTTGCTTCTGACAGTCACATGCAACCACCTGACTTCTATTCTACAGTCATTCCATCATCCCCACTGCTGTCTGAGAGCCCAGTCTTACAACAACATTACCTGTCATCTCCTCTGGCCAACAGGGGACAGCCACTATTGAGTTTCTCAGTGACACTGGTATACCTCTCACTAATGTATTACTCATCATTTGGGATAAATGGAGTATGCTTTGGGGTCTTCCACTGACTAGATGTTTTACACTAAACTAACCTAGTTTGGGAAGCTGGGATCATCAGGAAGTAGACTCTGAGATGGAGTGTAGTGCACAGGAAGGTTATTCAACCTGCCCTTGTAATCAACAGCTGGGAGAAAGGAGACAAAGGGAGAAGTTGGTCTCTGATGCAGTTTCCAAACAGACCTCTGCTGTCTCCTCATAGGGCCCTGAGACGGGGCCAGCCCTTCTGAGTCCTGAGTTGGAGCAAGTGGACCAACTCCTTTCTCAAACAGGCACTGTATGCAGATTGCCCCTGGGGAGGGGCCATGGCCCCGGGAAAGGCGGCTCTGTCCAGCTGAGGGCAATTCCAGAGACAGCAATCAGCAAATGATACTCCAAGCAGCTGGGAAATAAGCCTTTCATTCCTGAGGAGGGATCAGGGAGGTGCATCACAGCATCCATGACACCTAGTAAAGCCACTCTAACATGGTCAGCTCTCTGAGCCGTTTTGTCTCTTGGTCCACCATCTGCCACCATAGCCTAGGATTTCTACTTCACCAATGTGCAGAAAAATTTGGATTCAAAACATTTCATAAAAATGTTCAGATATTTGCAAATTGGTGAAGATAGCTAAGTTAGTCTTTACCAATTTGCAAATATCTGAACTGATTGATTTTTCCACTTTAACTTTTAAACTGAATACATGATGTCTATCACATAAAGAGTTCATGAATTCTAGAACTTAGATTTATATGTTTTAGAGACCACAGATTATTAAATCAACAAACAAACAAAAAAACAACTACAAATTGAGGCAGATTTCTTCTTAGAAAGTCCCCAGGGCTCCTTAAGGCAGGGGTCCAAGTCTTCCTACACTTTTGTTAGGCACATAGCTAACTTTTGGTGAACACTGGACGATGGAGCTATTCTCTCCTTATCCCTCAGCCCGACTCATCTAAGCTAGTAATATTACCCCATACATACCCTGGAAGGCTGAGGATATGCTAAAGTCCACACTTATCACCCTTCTACCCAACTCAGAAAGGTTCTATATACTAAAACACTTGTCAACATTTATGCAAGACCATGAATTGTTAGCTATATTTTGATTTGGAAACTTAGCTCCCTGTTTTACACAGTGCTCTGACCATGCAGCCACTGTGCTTCACTTATGAAGATTGTCAGATCCGGCCTGGTTCTCACCCTCTGGGCCCATTTTCAGTGGTTCTTAACCCACTTCTAGGCACAGCCTTTTCCCAAACTCCAGGACAATCCATAAGTGTACCTGTGCAAAATTGAGGGAGATGCAGCAGTTCTTTGTGGTTCAGATCCCCCAGACCTTGGGCTAGAAGTCCAGCGGGGTAGCTGACTTTGGCCTTATCTCTGAGATTTAGGTTCCACACTTGCCCTGGGCCTGAGAGCTGGATCCGTGTGTTCCCTGTCTCAGAAATGCAACCAGTACTCTGGGATCTGTCTTTTGGAGGGCTCATGTAGCCTTGCACACTTCCCTGATTCTGTCTGCCTCTCTGGACTTCCCAATGTTGACCTCAACTGAATTTTCCAGTAAAACTTCCCTTTTCAAACTATTGAAAGTCTCTTGACACCGATCTTTTGCCTAGCTCCCACCTAGTCCACACTCTTCTTATTGGATTCAACTTCATCCAGGCCTGTTGTAGAATCTGGTCCCTGTCTGCTCTAGTGTAGAAGTGGAATTTGTTTGGTACACCATCCCCCTCAGGTTGCCCTGGCCTCTTATATATAATTTAACAATATCCTGGGACATGTTAAAAGCAAGTGTCTTCAAAACTCAGGTGGGTTCAGCATGAGGTGCATTGGCAACTTGACAACCAAGACCTGGAATGGGAGGACAAACAGGGAGAGGTGAGGCCTGTGGCCAAACCCTAGGAGAGCAGCACAATGAAGATATGACAGGGAGTGTGGAAAACCAGGTGAGGTTCAGGTGGGGCCTAAACTCAAGCCAGGTGGCAGGAGATCATGTCAGAGTGCAGGTGAGAGCAGAAGATACCTAAAGCTACATTGGTAGTGATGTTATGGAGGGCTGGAGAGCACTTGGGTGGCTAGAGTAGGGTCAAGTACCTACTCAGAGGGGAAACTGAGGCATGAACCCAGTTACATAGTTGGGGCCAGTATTATA